GGTGAGGGCGATTTCTAATGCCTGTGTGCATGATAGTGAAAATATAATTTTATTCTGCCTGCATACTGAATAAAACTCCTGTTTCTTATTATGGTCTAATAGGTGGAAACTTTTTTTTGTGTTGTTTATAAACAGGTTTAAGATTTTTTACTTTATTCTTACAGAGGGCAAGGATTGGTGGAATAAAGAATATGACTTTGTTAATGCTTTAAAAAAAAAGAGCTGGAAAAAAGGGGGGGCTTTTTTCTAACTGGGACCTGGGCTTGATTATAAACTCCCTGGAGGAGAATGCAATGGCCATTTGACATTCTCAGCACACACAGGAAAAGATATTTTAATGAGAGCTACTTGGGCTTCCCCCTCCCCATTGTCCAGAGAAGCTCATGGAAATAGTGTGTCTATTTAAATGATTTCAAATAAGTTATATGAATTTGGATCTGTTTCTCCCAGAGAAAGATCTAGCTTGAAATGAACAACTATACAAAGTTTTGAGGAGCCAAGGCTAAAAGTTTGCAGTGAACCAAATCGTCAAGAACAGAAAAACACAAAAAGGGTGGCACAAAACACAAGGATACAGGAAGAGGGGATTTCAAACTTCCAAACCAAAATTCAGAATTGAAGGTCTCCCCACCCCCAGGATGACTATGTATTTGGGGCACGTTTCTCCAAGACCTTTCTCCCTCCTCTTCAGCCCTCTACCCTCCATTTCTTCCCACATCCTGTTTCTCTGGCTCATTTTTCTTAAGTGACTCAGTCTCCCTGCTGCTTCACTGTCGTAACATGCACATATCAGAAACCTGTCTACAAGAGCTATTTCAGGTACAGTATTTGGCCATTGCACTTAAAACAAATATAAGCACATACTTGGGAAATTTTGTTGAATGGTGAAGTATTTGTTCAGCAACATCCCATAGAAATGAGTGGCTGGTGGAAGGCCATTTCTTCTCACAGAAACTCAGATGTTCTTAATTCTTTTCCTCTCAACACATTCGATCTTGTACCTCTTTCATTTATACATTTAATTCCTAGGCAAGAGGCTAAATCGGACTCTCTGGGCAAGGCCGTCTTTGGACTTGCTTTTCTTCTGTAGTCTTATCCTCCATTGGCACATAGATTTTCCCCCCACACTATTTCCTGCGACAGTGTTTTTATTTAGTTGCCATGTATTCTGTAAGGTTACACACCATCCCTCTTGATAAACTCACAGTTTTCATTGCTATGACTTAGCATCTTACAGCTGATGGCTAACATTTTGGAGAAATGTATAGCCCATCTGTCATCACACAAAAGCAGACCTGACCACATCTCCTCGGAGATTTTTCAAACAGCTCCCAGCACAAGTTTGTGACCATTTCTCTGCCTGATTGAATTCTATCAATAGCCTTTCCTAGAGCCAAGGAATGATATGGAAACTAATGAGGAACTATGAAAGTAGTGTGGTTAACAATTCTTAAAAAACACTCCCAAAAGAAAAGTACCATTTAATCCATCTTGCAGATACACAAGATTCTTTGAAGACACAAAGAATCTAGTCACTCAAATGGCTATCTTTCTTGATTTATAGTTTTCCACCATCTCAAATGTCCCAAGGAGTAGATTTAATATTTCAAATGGTCCAAAATACCTAAATGATCATTTGTCAAAGACTTGTCACACTCCTATATCCAGGAGTCTTTCTTGAAGGGTTCTCTTGTTACTATAAGGAGAGAACTCCTTTCTAAACTACTATTCAGGAAAAGATTCATGAAAGACTTCTAATACTTTATATTCTGTAAGTTTGCATAGGATTATGAATAAGTCAAGGATACTATAGAACACATTCCCAGATAATTCTAACTAACATGGAAGAAGCCGTTTAAACATTTGTTATTTTCTTCCATTTTGGTATGATGAAGTTTGATGGCAAGTATATGGGCTCAGGAATCCATTCTGAATTCAAACTCCAGGTGCAGATATCCACAGCACAGTCTAGAAGAAAGTAACTACTAGAGCCTTAATTTCTTCATCTAAATTAGGGGTAATAAAATTGACCTTATAAATTTACTAAGATTTCATGCGATAGTACACATAAAGCATCCATCATAGTGTATATGACAGCATGCCCCAATGTTGCAGATTTAAATCAAAACACGAATGATCATAATGATTGATGTTAGTCTTTCAAAATTGTCAGGGATACCTAGACAACAATCTTATGGAACTCATCTGATTAGATCTCTTCATTATATTACCATTATAATATCTATTAAAATTACATAAAATAAAAACCAAATTACACATAAACTAAGTTTAAAAAAATGTTTTGGCATTGGAAGGAATCATGGAGAAATACTTTGTTTTCCAAGAAATTTTTGTCTTAGGAGGGTGGCATAAAAGCAGACCCAGCCCTGTGATAAAAAGGGATGCCCAATGGATTTACTAAGTGCTTCCAGGAAATACCAGTAAGAGGAGGAGATCAGGATAGGGAGAGCAAGAAGTCAAGGAACGGGCCCTATCAGGCCAAGGCATACCTGTAGCCTGAGCCTGCAGGGAGCTCTGGAGTACAAATTGTGTGCCAGGGTTATCCTTGCTCAAGGCAAAGGAACCAGGCTTGGTACCCTTTAATCTCTGGCTGTGGACTATAGAATGGAGGGTAGAAGAGGGGAATGTAAACCCCAAGCACTTCAGGCTGTGTCATGTGAATGAAGCAGCTCCAGTAGTCCAAAAGGCACTCCTTTAGAGAGTGGAAGGTGGTCTTGCACAGAGAAACACAGAAGTTGGGGGAACAGTTGCGGGTAGCTGGAAATGAGGATTCAGCCACTATTACTAATAGAGATCCAAGTGACTGACAGTGACCTCTACAGTCACATCATACATTCTACCAATAAGCTTAGCCTCCTACAAGGTCTTATTTGCAAATAGTTGTTTAGCAACCAAGAAATCAACCAGCACATTTTCCCCACCTGCCTGCCTTACCATCATCTAAGAATATCCATACTTGATAGAAAAAAAAATTCAACGCCTCAGACTATTTTTGCTTTTGTTGCCTGTGTGATTAGGATCAGATTCAGAAAATCATTGTGTAGATCCATGTCACAGCTCCCCCACCCACCCCCACCCCATATCCTAGGAGTTTTACATTTCTTAGTTATAGGTCTTCAATTTTGAGTTGATTTTTATGTATGGTATGAGATATAGGATCAATGTCAAATTTTCTACTTGTGGATATTTCCCCCGCCCAACACCATTTATTGAAGACACAAAGAATTCCTGAGAGAAAATATTTACAACCTATACACCTGATAAAGGGTTGATGTATAAGGAACTTAACAAGTCAAATAACCCTATCAAAAATGTGCAAAGAGGCTGGGGTTGTGGCTCAGTGGTAGAACACTTGCCTAGCATAAATGAGACATCGAGTTCAATCCCTGGCACCACATAAAAATAAAGGCATTGGGCTGGGGTTGTGGCTCAGAGGTAGAGCACTTGCTTACCATGCGTGAGGTACCAGGTTTGATACTCAACACCACGAAATAAAGGTATTATGTCCACCTATACCTAAAAAATATTTAGAAAATAAAGGTATTGTGTCCACCTGCAAATAAAAAGTTTTTAAATTGTACAACAAACCTCAATAGACTTTGGAAAAGGAAGACCTACAAATATCTAACAGGTACATAAAAAATGCTTAGTATCACTAATCAACAAAATGCAAATTAAAACCATGAGATCACTCACATCTAAGAACATCTACTCACCAAAAAAAAAAAAAAAAAGCCAGGTATTATGATGCATGCTTGCAATCCAAACCAAGCAACTCGGGAAGATGGCAAATTTGAGGATAGTCTGTGCAACTTAGTGAGACCTAGTCTCAAAAATGAAAAGGACTGGACACGTAACTGTGGCAAAGCACCTTTAGATTCAATCGCCAGTACAAAAAAAAAGGAGATAACAAGTCCAGTGAGAAGATAGAAAAATATTACATGTTGTTGGTGGCAATTTACATTGTTAAAAATATTATGAAAAATATGGAAGATCAGAAGATTAAAAGTAGAATTTTCACATAATCTGGCAATTCAACTACCCAGTATATATCAAAATAATTTTTTAAGTGTTTAAGAAAAAAGAGGTGGTGGGAAATGAAATCAGAATGCCCAAGAGATACTTGCACACTTCTGTTTGCTGCAACATGATTCATGGTAACCTCAATATGGAACCATCTTGAATGTCCACCAATGGAGACCTGGATAAATATTTTTCATATTCACATAGAATACTATCCAGCCTTTAAAAAAAAGAAATCCTGACATTTGTGACAGCATTAACCAGGAGGACATTATGCTCAGTGAAATTAGCTAGACACAGAAAAACAGATACCTCAATCTCACTTATGAGGAATCAAAAAAGTTAAACTCGGTTTTATGTAACTGGAAAGTAGAAATACTGGTTTCAAGAGGTTGGGGACCAAGAATGGAGAGCTATTTGTCAAAGGAAAGTTTCATACAGGATGAATGAGTTTGAGATTCATTGCATAGCATGGTGACTAGATAATAATGTGATCTATATTTCAAAATTGCCAAGAGCATGTTTTAAATATTACTGTAAGGAAATATTAAGTAGATTTAACCATTCCATAATATGTGCATAGATAGTATATGGTACCTCGTAACTACAGTACATATGATTGTCAATTGAAAATATTTACTAAGCAAGTCCCTGTACTCACTCCAAATGCTGAACTCGGTTCCCATTCCAGTTTAAGAATGTAGATCAAGGTATATTTTAAAACTGATAGTGCCAAGCGTAAGAACTGACTCTTCATTTCTAACACTTTGAAGTTCACAAGTTATGATGAACTATGTTATCTATCAGCAACTCCATGAAATAAGCATTAAATACTACTCCCTGTTCTACAGGTCAGGAACTGAAACTCAGAAGATAAATAGCACAAAGTTCACATAGCAACTCAAGGAACCAAGATGCAATCCCAGGTTTGACAATGCTAATGCTCTTTCTAATAGATCAGCTGTCAGAACCAACCGCCTCCAAGTAGCTGTGACGGTGCTTTGGCAGAGATTCCATGTTGGTCACCTAGCTCTGGACCGCACAGAGAAACCCAGGACAGTCCTACCAGCTTAAGATTCTCAGCTGAGTTCACATGGAGACATGAACTTGTGAGGTACTCTTCCATTTCAAGCTCTTCTCAGAACACTGGGGCCCCCTCTATTTAAAAATCAGATTTTGTCTTTATTCATCCTCAGTTCTTTACACCTTCTTGAGGTCATTATATCTACTCTCATCCTTTCACCTCTTAACTCTGGTCATATTTTGATGTTCCACAGACCCATCTCTTTAGATCAGACTACTCCTAGTTCTGAAGACATGTAGTCAACTCTAACCAAAAATTTAGGTCAGCTACTAAAGACTTTTGACTTAAGCCCATTTTTATCCTGTACTTCAATTTTCACTGAAAGACACCCTGGCCCTCTCACCTACAAGTGAGAAGCATTCATTCGACCCCTCATCCCTGATAGCAGATCTGTTCTTAAGTCCTCTGGACTCCACACTGTAGTACCTCTCATCTATTCCCTTCTCATCTGGCAGTGATATTTGCCAGAGCAGAAAAACTAACCTGATCATTGTTTCTACACTTGAGCTATTAGAATGTCAATTGTCTCCAGCATCTACTGTCCACACATGGTCCTCCTTGGTTGAGCTGTCTACACTTCCAGCTTCAGTGACTCTGGTCCCTTTGATCCATTCTCCCTCTACAGAGTACAAGCAGTCCCCAAACATGCCTTTTCTTACACTGTTTCTTCCTCAGTGTGCTGCTCTCATTTATGTGATGGTTTTATTTTGTGATTTCCTCTTACATAATGCCCAACATGTATTTCATTATAGAATAGCACTTTTCCCCCCACTTATTCCATATGCATGTCTACTCTTTCCCATCATCCCACCAGTCTGTAATTTCCTCCAAGGAGAGGAATTAGTCTTCTTTATCTTTGCATTCCAAGTGTCTAGAAGTGTTGACATTTCACAGGTGCTCAATAAATTTATTTTGAGTAAATGAATTCAAATTATTTTTTTAAAAAGTCTGATCGATACATGACAGATGTTGCAACCACAGTATTCTCACTGCATTCTATCGACTTAGTTCAGAAATATCACTATCCCTTTAATGGGCGACATCCATACAAGAAACACTGCTAAAAATTTTTAGCCACCCTGGCCTTCCATCTCCTGATAACCAAGAGTAACTTCAAGAAAATACCTTGTTTTTCAGTGGAACTTCCTGGCCAGAACAATGAGAGAATTTTGGTAAACATTTCTCCAGAGTGAGATAAACCTCTTTACACAGCTCCAAACCACAGTTTCATCTTAGATGAACAAAGGTCAGCACCCAACCAGTTTCCAAGTGATGCCACAATTCCATGTGCTTTTCCTACTCTGTAGTGTTGATAGTATTTGGTATCTGAAGATTCAGACTAAGATTTATGAAAGTATGGTTTTAGAAAATATACTCAGACAAGTATACAACTAGGTATTAATGTGTTTAAATGGCTCAAAAGTGACTTGTCATTCTAAGTCTCACTAGAGAGGCTCCCAGGTGGCTGTGCTATCTCATCTCCTTATTGCCTAGTACAGGGCGCTGGTCCACAGTCCTCACAGACTAAGTGAGCAAATCCACCAATCAATCCCCGAGAGTCAAAGTTAAAAATTACCTGTCACAACATTGTTTTTCCAACCATCTGCCTTTGGTAAGTAAAAATTATACCGTCTTAATCCGAGTTTCTCATTTTTGCTGAATACTCATTTCTTATGACGCTTATAGAGGACAACTCTAATAAGATGGCACGCAGGAGGGAAAGGATACTCTCTCTTCACACTATAGTCTAGGTTTTACATGTGTATTTTACAAAGATCAATTGTTTCAAACAAGATCTTTTTAGACTTAAATTCTTCTCATTTCCCCCATTTTAGTTTTGAGAAATTTCATACCTAAAAAATGTTGAAATAGTGTAATGAATATTCAAATGCCCTTCACCTAGGTTCACCAGTTTGACATGTTGATATTCCTGCTTCATCTGTCAAGTTGTGTGACTTCTTGAAACATGATAATTCACCCTAAGTTTCTCAGAATATTTCTTTTTAAGAGCAAGGATGTTCTTAACATCACTCAGACTGTTTTTGCCCAACACTAAATCTACTAACAAGGCCATATTAAATTTCCCAAAGTGTCATCAAAGCTCCTTGTATCTGTGGGGGGGAAAGGGTGTTTCGTATCAAGAACAGGACTTGTGACATCACGTCTCTTTATTCTTTAAGATAGGATAGCTCCATATTGTTTTTCATGACATTGATATGTTTGTAGAATCTATCTAGATGTCCTACAGATGTAGGTTTTGCAACTCTTTGGCTCATCATATTCTGATTAAACATTCTTTGGAATAAGATGACAGGGTGGTAACATGAACTTTCCATTGCATCTCGTCATGGGATGCATTATGTGACCAGAAGTTTGATCTAATCTTTAAGGTGATATCTGAGCTGGGTATGGTGGTGCATGCCTGTAATCCCAGTGACTCGGAGGCTGAGGTAGGAGGATCTCAAGTTCAAAGCCAGCCTCAGCAACGGCGAAGCGCTAAGCAACTCAGTGAGACCCCGTCTCTAAATAAAAGAGAATAGGGGATGTGGAGGGGGGGAGAGAACCCCACACACAACCATGATATCTGCTGGAGTTAAACATTGTAGACATAGTTTTTCCTTCTTGTAGTTAATCCATATCCTATAATACCCTGATACCAGGAAGCAATCATGTCATGTCAAAGAATGATTTTTTGAGTTGTTTATAAATTGATGTTTCTTTAATATAGAAGAGCACTTCTCACCCTCCCTTTTAAATATCCCTACTTTCTCAAATCCTTTTGTTCATAGTTGTACTATAATACCTCTTTCTCTGGATGCTTGTATTTCTGTTTAGCTTACTGGATCCTCTTTAGGAAATTTCTGTCATTTCAACGTGTATCCATTCTTCTTTCCATACCCTGTGCTTCCTGATACAACAAAATGTCCAGACCTTCCATCCACTTTTCCCTGTCCCAAATATGCAACTAGACTTGTTCAATGGATTCCCAACGGAATTTGGAAGCCAGAAATCCGTGTTCTTACTGCCATAGCCTACCTTGATGTGGGGCGGGGGGAATCTCTTGTCTACAGGGTCCCTGGTTTTGCAGAGACTGGTACCACCAGTGCCCAAAGCACAAAAATTCACAGTGTAAGTGCTCAATCAACACATTAGATGTTGACATTCTAAGAAATGGATATACTTGCAAAAATCATGATGTGTGCTTTTAGGGTATCTGACTTTGGAATATGTTTGATCCACAGAGTCTCCGATCATACTCTACAATGTGACCTTGGCAATAATTTTCTTGCGTGTAGAACAAAATTTAAGATGAGCTTACTCTTCCCCTTTGTGAACACTGATCTGGCATTAAGTGTACTCTTATGTTGTCAAGAAAGGCCTCTAAATAACATGTTTATACAAAGGACCAGATACATTAGTGACACAAATCTAATAAGAGAAATTTGGAATTTGGCATTAAATATTTTTCTCCAGAAGTTTACAAAACTATCATTTTGGAAACACCCATTCCTTGTCTACTGGCTTTCAGTTTATCTGTATAAAAGTGGAAGAATGGTGTCTATTTCTTCATTAACAAAATAATTTCTAAGAGCCCATTTCCTATTTGAACTACTGTGAGTGTTGGGACAGTAGACTCCATTTCTACAAAATACTAAAATTTTCAAAATGGGAATTAGGATTTTTTGCTCACCCTACTTTTTTTTTTTTTTTACCCTCAACATACATCTAGTTCCAAGGGGGTGAATTAAATGGCTTACTGGCTTTTTTTCTCTTTCAAAAAGCTACAATTTTCCGAAATGGCAGACTGCCATTTAAAGCAGAGTTGTTAGGCTTCTCTCTTGTGGGTTTAAACTGGCTGCTGGCTAAAAGCTGAAAGGGCCATTTTTCAAGCAGCACTTAGGTTTAGGAGCCAAGAGGGTCCTAAAATCTGAAGTGTCTCTACTTTTACTGGGGGGAAAAAAAGTTAAAAAAAAAAATTTAACCTAGAAAGGGTAGATGTTTTCACTAGTTTCTCTTCCACAGTAATCATAATTAGGAAAACCATTCATCAAAGGGCTCCAGCTAGCATATGCTGGCATAGCAATATATTTTGCTGAAAATGTCACCAGTTTATAAGGCACCTTTCATTATTCCCATCTTGAACCTATATAGAGATGCATCTTTTACGTAAAATATTCACAATCCAAATCCTAAATCTTTGATAAGCAAATACAATGCATTTAAATTAAATGCTTGCAAAAGCCTGTATAAGCCAACAAAATAAACCTTAGTGAGGTTATTAAAAGCATTTTGTTTACATAAGTTATACCACATTATATTAAGATATATTTTAAATCTTGTTTTTGCTGTAACTTGTCACCTGTAACACTGAAGATGCTATCAGAGGAGCAAAGCAATCTCAACTTTCTCTAAGGAAAACAGATGACAATGACAGCTCTGGGTGAAATTCCCACATGTAAGACTACATTGGTGGAGTGATTTGAAGTCATTGTGCAAGTATGTAATTTGAAGGTAACAAATTGCAGTCAGACTCCACAGCCTAGTTATTCTTAGTGGGGGGGTTCCAAGCATTGGCCATGCTTAAAAAGCCCTCATTTACACTGTCCAGAACCTTCTTTCTGGGTTCAGTTCTCTCTCATAGGACAGAGTCCCTTGTAAGAGCATTTATCTTGGACCATTTTTTTACTGCCCCCCTCGTCTAAGCTTAAAAATATCCTTAGCAGTAATAATTTATTGGCTGCTGTGGGGCTCAGCATCGTACCAGGCTGCCCCTGTTACTCTGATGCTCCCCTTTCACTGTCGACCATGAAACTGGCCTCTGTCTCCGCTTCAGCCGCCTGCACTTTTCAAAGGCAGAAGGTCAAACGCCTCTCATCTAAGGAGATCTTAGTTTGAGCCTTAATCATAATCCCTGGCAGCATTTGTCTGAAGGCTGAAACCTTTCTTCATGATTTGTTGAAAAATAGGAAAATGGGTATTAGTTATACTTAGTCAACTTAGACATCTCAATATCCATGTAACGTGTGGTATGTTTTAATACATAAATTTAAGAAAATTGTGGTTGATCTTCTGTGATGAATGGAAATATAAGTTCCTCCTAAAATCCCTAGAATATTCTAACAGTATTTCAGTTGGTGTAATTATAATAACCAAAGACATTTATTTGATCAGTTCAGTAGGCATTCTTTAGTTGATAATTCTTTTTATTACAAAGAATTATCAACTAAAGTGTTTATACATTGGCAAAAGATAATTATCTACCAATTAACTACCAGTTGTTTAAAAAATAGCTCCTTTTAAACCGACTTGTTCAAGTCTAGTGAAATATTTACTGAGTAGTCATGATCACTCTTATGTGAATGTTCAATAACATTTTAAATCTAATATGATCTATAACACATAGGTACAGCAAAGACAAAACATACTTTCTATACACTGAATAAGTATCTTTAAAAAATATTTTCAGGAAAGGATGATTCATGGTCAAATACTAACATAAGCTACAAATAAGTTACAAAGCATCATGTATCGATTCCCAATGTCATGTAAGTGTGGTATGAGTATATTAAGGCAAGTACAGCCATGTAGTTGCATAGCAAAAAACTGAAATAGTCACCAAAATATAGACAGTGTCTATTCTTGTAGGGTATAGCTGATCATTTTTCACTGGTCTTTTCCAAAGCATTTACAATAACATCCATTGTTTTATCAGAAAAGTAAAACCTTTTAAAAGGAAAAAGCCCTATGCATGACAAGTTTGTTGCAGCACTATGTACCAGAATGTAGAAAGATACTTCTGAAGATTGTTAATGTTACTTACATGGAGTGAGGATGGGGGTGGGGACAGTAGGGCTGAAGTAGTAGAGGTGATCAGTACTATTGTATGCACATACTACACATGTACAGGTGTGCACATACAATTCAGCTGACAAAGACCAGCATGTTCAACTCCTATTGCCCTACAAAGCGGACTTTCCCCTACAAAGCGGACTTTCCCCTACAAAGCGGACTTTCCCCTACAAAGCGGACTTTCCCCTTATCTCAGAGGTGGTGCTGGATGAGGTAAGTTGGCTCTATCCGAATCTGGTCGACTTATCTGACCTTGTTCATGGTGTCAACTCTTTCAGGAAGCATTCCATAACAGCTCTCCTGTCCCAGCTGTTATGTGGGTGCTCCATAATATCACTGCACTTGGAAGACTATCTTAGGAGTATCAGCTTTCATGCACTCCTTTCCCAGTAGGCTGTATTAGCTTATCACCTCTATATCTTCTACTTATACACCACTGACAGATGCTCATTAAAGATAGGCATCAGCTGGTTGAATGTACAGATTCATGGAGTAGCCAAAAACAAAGAAATTGCCTGTGAGCTTGGGGTTGCTTTGCGGCAAATTCAGAAGCCCAAGTCAATCCCTAAAATTATTCTATGATCCAATCTCTAAGTCATGAAACAAAGATTACATGTCAGGAACTGAGATACTCCACAGTACATGTTCAACTAACTGGTGGGGGTGGGGGTAAAACTAAGGAATTAAAATCCGATTTCTGGAGGGAGACATTAAAATTTTTAGATATTGCAGTGTTTTTAGTTCTGCAGAACTTAATTCTATCAGGCAAAAAACTCCTAAGTGGTTAAGCCTTATTAGGGACAAATTAATTATGTTTGTTTTAGTCAAATTTAATTAAGAGCCACTGATCTAAAAAAAAAAAAAAAAACCAATTGTCCTCTGCCTGGATCAAGACCAAAACTCATCTCCATGGTAAGAGAAAATAAACTGCCTAATTAATGAACTACCATATAGCTTGCCTTAATTAGAAAAAAAATCGAGGTACAGATTTAGATACATAAAATGCTCCTGTACTTCATTTTCCACTGCCACACTTGTCCAGCAAGCTGAAGACCCCAAGTTGAAATAGGTAGAAGGCATGATGCTATATAGAAGCATAACATCGGGATCAGTCCACAAGGAAAAGATGAGGAAATGGTGGGTAGAATGTTTTTCCAACTAGAGATACCCAAGTTAATGAAGTAACAGGAGCCCAGGGATATTCTGAGGCCAGCCCCATACATTGTCTTGGTTCATGTTCCAAAACATTAGAATCATGTCATTCTTATTCTTGTCTCTTCAGGTACCAATTCTGCCAGAAAGTTGTATTTCTAAACTTCTCCCTCCAGACCAGATCAAAATAAACACCAATACTCCAGTGTTTTAGACATTCATTTCTGAATGACTATACATGATATCTGACCTGGTTGTCTCCCTTAATACTAATTCCTCCTGAGATGGGCTTCATCTCTACAGCTGCCTGCCAGATGAGATCCTAGTAGTCCAAGTCTTGATGCCAAGGGTCTTTCCGATTATGAAATGTTATTATGGGATAAATACAAGAAACAGGTAAAAAGACTTAAATAAACAGTGGGCTTATACTAGTGTAACTCCATTTCTCAAGTTCTGCTTTGTAGAATGCTAGCACACAAAGAGATGTGAATGATCTTTAAGTATTAATCATGTCTGCTATATACCTGATATTTTATGTTCTCACATAGAACTAAAGGAAAGAGAAGCGTTCTGGGATCTAATCCTAGCTTTATCATAATGTCCTAGATGATCATGGGAAGATTCTTCCCTCCCTATAGGTCTCAGGTTGCCAACTGGAAAAATAACTTGTCACAAAAATTTAGGTAATTTCCAGCCAGTAGTCTATAGGCAATCAAGTTGTGTCCAAGGAAAGAGTGTTTGATAACTTTCAGGAAAAAAAAAAAACTTTCCAAAAGCTAATTCTCACAAAGGTGCCATAGCGTCCACTAAACAGATAAGGCAATATAATTTTTTTTTACTTATAACACCAATACAAGAGGAAAATACAGATTACTTGTTCAAGAATTCAGGATTTCAGGGTTTGGGTACAGTTCAGTAATAGAGCGCCTGTACATCTTACACAAAGTCCTGGGTTTGATGCCCAGCACCACAAAAAAATTAACCATAGTAACAGAATTAAACCAATAGTAGAACCCCCCCTCAACATGAGGCACCATCATGTGGCTATATAAATTCCCTCAACACCAACCCTGCTGCTCAGATCTGGGAGAAAAGCTGAAGGCCACAATGGCAACTGGGAAACTAAGTGAGAAAATAATGAAGAACCCGTTATGAAGAAATTGGAAGTCCTCTGTGCAAGAGTGGTTTCCTTCCAGATACTTCATTTGGACTGTGAGGGACGCAGATGCTTGAGGGCATCATGCAAAGAGAATTTTGATTTTACAGTTGAATTCATCATCCCAGACACTATGCTTACCCAAAGTATCTCAAGAAACCCGATATGACTCCCATAGGTAACCACTTTCACCATGAGGACTGCAGTCAGGATCAAAATGAAGGGGGATAATTGAGATTCAAAAAGGAATATTTGTAGGAGCAACAGTATTACTGTAGTTAGACAATTCTCCCACACACATATTGAAAGTTTTTTTTAAATTTCATTTCTATTTAACAGTGATTGGAAGGAATAGGCTAAAACATGGAAATAGAGTATTATTTCCAAGTAACTCCAAATATTTTCACTCATTCTAGAACGATAGTACTTGAGAAACAATGTTCTAGAGTGCAGTTCCACTTCTAGCATGACATTTGAAGACTCCTACAAACTCACTGCCCAATAAAACTGGTGTGAATTACAAAAAAGGTATTAGTCTCTGTAAATACAGTTCCAAGGGCATCTAGCAAATGAAGAAATACTTAAGAAATTCCAGGAAAATTCAGTAAGAACAGCGACAGTCAGTGGTATGTGAACCACAATCTATTCATTTCCACCTCCTCCCAGCTCTGACACAAAACACTCCAGATGGCAGAGCCAAGACCAGAGCTTCTTACATGCCCCCAGTTCCTAGTCAAAGTGCTCTCTTTGGGATGACAGCATGTCAGCATGCCTCATTCTGCCCCCAGCTATCAGTTGCCTAGTCCGAATTCCAGGCAAGTGCAGCCAAAAGGTAGGAGCTCCTGGCTGCTGTCCAGCATCGGCTTTATCTTGGCCACAGCACTGCAAAGAATCATGGAACACCAATATTCTCACCCCAACTCACAAGATGAAGACTCCCACCAAGAATGGCAAGCAAATATTATATATATAAATATATATAAAATATATATATTTATATATATGGAAAGGGAAGTATTGGGGACTGAAATGGAGCAAGTTATGTTCAACTCATCTGTGAATGTCAAAAATGAGCCCCAGTATTATGTTAACTACAACACTAGTTTTTGTAAATATGAAGCTATAGCTCTCCCCTTGACCAAGCACTCGGCTCCTAAAGTTGGTATGTAACCAAGGGAAAAGCACACCATTGAAAAAGTACTTAAGTGATAGCACACAATCATGCCCCACCTCAGCTTCATATGCACGCACAGAGGGGTCATAAAGCAAAGCATTACAAATACCTTTTCAGGAAATAACCAGGGAATAAGAATTTTCAAACTCCAATA